TCCGGTTGTGTATTTTCAAATTATAGCACACTCGAGCCGGTTTCTCCAAAACTCCCTACCCCACGTTTAAAGATGTTTCTCTTGCAATATGTTCTCCGTTTTATTTGTTTGAGTAGCTAATGTGCACATTGAAATGTAATTGTATCTTCATCTGCTTGTATCTAATGTAAATGCTTCATAATCTATCATTCATGTCTGTATTTTTCTCATTCTTGCACCGTTTTATGCATTTTATTTATTTTGCATATCGTATGTTGCTTTGTTGGAGGAGCCTTTCAGATGAAGGGTGTCACAAATACCGGTATTGTCAATAACCGTGATTATTAAAAAACTAAATATTGATATCACGTGAACAACACAAAACCTCTTTAACCATTTGCATTTCCTGCTTTTCTACGCCCTGGGGGTCAACACTCTTCTTATTTGTGTAGTCATGGCAACACAAAGTTAACCATCAATAAAAGAGGGGAATTTAAAAAGAATAACGCGGTCTCAAGGTGTAATTGGCAGGCTTTCGGTTGGATCGGGCCGGCCCACATGGGCAGAAAATCCTATTAAACAGAAGCTTTCCTGAGCGGAGGGAAACAAATCCTCAGATCAGCGCTCCTGTTCCTCAGCGAGCCGATTAAGGCAGACGGCGATTGAAAGGGTTTTTTCTGCGCCTGCGGTTCGGCCTCTGAAAGGAGCTGAATGGCGTGTGACGGGAAGAGGGTGGGGGGTGCACCTACCTGAACATTTGCCGCCTCTGTTGGGTGCTCATGCATGCGCCTTCATCCTGAGCACTGAAGGGAGAAGAGAGGCATTACAGGCGCTGACAAAATGAGATATCCACCATTTTAAAACAACTGTAATTGCCTCTCTGACAAGGAAAACTATAAAAGTGATTGAACGGCTTTAAAAAGAAGCTTTGTGAAGACTTAAGGTACAGTTTAAGAAGCTGTAATCGGTTCTACTTTGGCCAATTAACGGACAGTTTATCATCTGGTGTTTGGAGTGCTCAATGAGAAGTCAGTGGCCATGAGATTAATGTGGTTTTTTACTGCTCACCTTCTATCGAGTATGAAGTGATCTCCCTGCGGGGGGAAAGGAAAAGCGCAGTTATTTCCACGAGATCATCTTCAATACTTTTTATATTTGCATTAGCTTCTTCCCACAGCTCAGTGCATCAAAATAAAAGTGTGTTGACAGACGCCGTGCCGACTTAGAGGTCTAGTTATACATTTGACTTTATAGATTTTTGGCTCCACATCAGAGGGTCTAAAAAAAAAAAAGCATAAATCCAGCAGTGGTAATTGGTAGCAAGAAATCTTCTGAATTTGCACATGAATAGAAACGACACAAAGATTTGTGCAACATGGCGCCCCCCCCCACCCTCTCCATCCCCGCCTACACAAACATTTCTCACATCATGTGCAAATATCCTTTCTCTGGCTCGCTGGTACTCCTCCTCCCGCTCCTCCATCGATTTGCTCCTCTTGTCAGCTTTCAAACGCATTCGGATCTGGCAACGACACACACACACTTCTTTAGCAGCTATGTCAGGGACGCCAGATTGTCCCACTCTTACAAACATGTCAGAAATGAAAGTGACAGGTTGGTGCACACACACACACACACACACACACACACACACACACACACACACACACACACACACACACACACACACACACACACACACACACACACACACACACACACACACACACACACACACCGTGTTGTCGTCCCGATCAAAGCTGGAGTTGTCTCGTTTGAGAATGTAGCGTTTCTGAAAATCGTCCGCCCTGTCATCCTTGATGTGCTCGGAGAATTTCTGATCGGGTCTGTTGATTGAGAGGGGGGGGGGGAATTCAAAGGAGTTTTAGTGGCGACTTAATACCAGGCAGATGCTGACAGCAACATATGTTAAACAACACGTAGGATCTTATTTTAACGCAGCAGTTACTAAGCAACCAATAGTGGCATCCGTTCTGTTTTCACTCTAATGGAATGGTGCAGGAATGAGTCTTAAAACCCAGAAATTACTTTTTACCGCTCCTGGTTCCATCTTCTCAAACGTTTTCTTTTTTTTTTTACGTTTTTGTGACTTAGAAGCCTGAAATAAGGTCTGTGGTTTAACACAAGCTGAAGAGGTGTTCATGTTTTGTTCTACGTCATAAAATATGTAAGAAAATACCCCCACTCGTGAATGTCCAAAGCTTCCATGCCTCATAAAAACTGCAGTTGCTAACAAGTGACTAATCTATC